ATAGAATCAAAATCATGAATAGCCATGATTTTGTCTCATATTTTCCCCCTTTCTAGGACGTAGTTGATTTTGTACTAACTAAAATCTGGCACAGGTCACTGAATCAACGGATTTCAATGAGCTTGTTGAGAGGGAACCTTGGCTTTCATCATCAAAATTGGTCGTGAAGCCCGACATGTTGTTTGGAAAACGTGGGAAAAGTGGTCTAGTTGCCTTAAATCTTGATCTGGCTCAGGTTGCTGCATTTGTCAAAGAGCGCCTTGGCAAAGAGGTGTTGTTTTATTTCCTTGTCTTTCTAAGCTATCTGCTCATGATTATTGTTTGTTTTCTGTCAATCACATTTCATTTCCTCCTCTTGCTTAGTGACCCTTTTACTGTGTTTTTCTCTTTCATAATCAGGTATCAATGGGTGGATGTAAGGGACCCATCACAACATTTATTGTGGAACCCTTCATTCCGCACAGTGAAGAATACTATCTTAATATTGTCTCAGAGAGGCTTGGGTGCAGCATTAGCTTCTCGGAGTGTGGAGGAATTGAAATTGAAGAGAACTGGGATAAGGTATTGTTGCTGTTGAACCATTTTAATAACAATATTTTGAATATAATTGTTCGTTAGTGGATTACTCTTCCTGTTTGATTTCTATCACCTCCCAAATTTGACTAAGTTTCAATAAAACTCTGTTTTATTCAGGTTAAAACCATATTTATCCCCACAGGAGTGTCTCTCACTTCAGAAATATGCGCTGAGTTGGTGGCAACCCTTCCTTTGGAGGTGTAACTTTACATCGATAGAAATTGATTTTTGGAGTGTTATTTCTTTGTTGATACTAATATATAAATATCATATAATACTGTTGTCTACATAATTTGTGAAAGCTTAAAATCTGCTAAAAACCATGGTTATACTATTTTCGTTTGAAGCTTTAATTTATCTGAAATGGTTATTTTGTCATGGAAAGTCAAGATACTCATTTGCAGACCAGATAGTTGACATAAATTTGTTCTTCAATCCAGATCAAGGGAGAGATTGAGGAGTTCATCAAGGCAGTTTATACCCTATTCCAAGGTATGTTATTTGTTTGGGGTGTGAATTTAATTGTTAAACTATTGTTGGTATCAAAAACTGAAATTGGTAGGTTAGTATTTGATATATTTCAATATTGTTGTTAGGATCTCTTTTTTTTTTTTTTTTTTTTTTTTTTTTTTTTTTTTTTTTTTTTTTT